AGGAGAACTACTAGAATCTAAAACAAAACAACATATCGTAGTCTTAGAGAAGGCACTAATATAGGTAGAGAATTGAGAGTGTCTAGTTGTACCCATCTTAGCCAACGAGTTAGCAACTGAATTCGCCTCTCTAAAAATATGGGAGACTTTTAAATCAATGAACTCAGCCATATCAACGATGTCATCCCAAACCTGCTGAAGCGACTAAGGAATAATACCCATCCCATTAAACCAATGACAAACCACTTGGGAATCTGTTTCGACCCATACCTTTGAAACCCCCAAAATATAGCAATAATACAAACCAAATTTCAGAGCCATTGCTTCCGCCATTGAATTAGTAGCTACCCCAAGAGACACTCTCTTTCGTTTTTGTTTAAAAGGAAACCATTCTCTAAGCAACCCACCACATCCAGCTCTACCAGGGTTACCACGACTAGCACCATCAATATTAAGTTTAAGAATATCACAAGGGGGACAATACCATCGAACAAGGAGAGGAGCCTTAGTTGTCAAAGGAGTGGGAACCATACCAAGACAATATAGAGCAGCATGAAGACGAGAGGGAGTAGCATGTGATGGACGGAGATGTGGACTTAATTCAACCAACCAGTGTTTTACTTTGGAGCAAATTTTATGACCATTGACCAAACCTCCATTGTATCTAACCTCGTTGCGAGCAAGCCAAATCTCCCAAGCAATCAGTGCCGAAATCAAAAGTGCAAGTTGGTGAAACTGCGAGGAACCATTAAATTGGTGCAGGCAATGAGTAAGAACCGCATGCCATGAACTAGCAGATACAATTCGAGCCCCAAAAATGTTAGCAAAATGGGTCTAGGCATGAGTCTCTGGTTCGCTAGTATGAAACAGGTGCTCAATGTCCTCCACCTTTGTATGAGAACAACAGTGACATTTTGATACCAAAGGAACGCCACGACTTCGAATAACATCATCCACTGGTATTATACCGCGCCAAACTCGCCAGAAAAAAATAGAGATTTTCACCGGAAGTAATTTATTCCAAATCAATTTGAAGAGATGAAATTTGTCCTTGATCTCACATAATAGGCTCCAAGCCGTATTAGTAGAGAATTCTCCTACAGATTATGAATGTAGGCAACCAAATTATCACCCCCAAGTCTATGAATAAGGTCAAGATTCCAAGATCCCTTAGCGCAAACATCTTTCAACTGTAACATAGGTTCATTAACAACCCAGCCTTGGTCGTATAATGAACCAAGACCTGACTAGTTTGTATACCAAAATGAGATCTTTGATAACGGGGAAGTGTCTACTTAAACTACGCCAATAGGGAGAAGCAGTAAGACCAGGTGAATAAGAGCTCATATTAAAATTTTCTGTCAAATATTTCTGCCGTATGAATGATGCCCATAAAGAGTCACCTGTCAAGACTCTCCATAGCATTTTACATTGGAGTGAGGCAAAAACATCAAATAAACTTCGGACTCCCAATCCCCCTTCATCAATAGGAAAACAAACTTTCTTCCAAGCAATCCAGTGATATTTATATTGTCCTTCATAATCACCCCAAAAGAAATTTGCAAAGAGTTGATGAA